TTGTTTCCACTCGTGCCGTCCTTTAATTTCTTTATACAGCGGGAATCCAAATGAATGAATCCTGAGTCCAATAACCATCAAAGTCACTCCAATAGTTAATACTTAATTACGCTTTCACACTCCTTTAACAAAATACTTCACATTCATCCAGTTTGTGACGGTAGTTGTAGCATTTTTGAGACTTTTACACTTTAATTACCGCAACTTCCAACAGGAGTCATTTGGGGGGGCTCTTGCTCTCGAACTATAAGATCCTTTAGTTTTTCGGAAACTAATAAAACTGGCCTCTAGTTTGACCCACAAACCATTTAAAAGTACTTTAGCTAAGTTCACCTGTGTCTTTCTAGGACTTTCTTGGTACCAGGGGTTTGAAACCAAAACGGTGCCTGTATTGACGTTCTCTCCTGTGTCGGTGAAATATCACTCGACACCAGGTTGAGAATCAATCAGGTAATAAAAAGTACTTGAATAACCATGTGAGTTTAACTACTTTTGTTGGGTCATTCATATCGTCTCATGAATACTTGTTATTCTTGTCAATTTCAGACCATTTCATGCCACTTAAGAGTGCACGATATTGTTGTTTGTTGTGTTTGTGTAACCAATAGGCAGTAGCCATTAGAGGAACTTCCACACCCACATGTTGGAAGTCACTTAGTCACGCATTGGGTTTCTTTCTCCTCTCCTGTAGCATGTCTGTCTCTCAATTAAAAGAGGGAACGTGTGAGGAAGTTCCTACTGTTCAATCATAGCTGCGCCAATTAAAATGATGAGTCATCGTGCACTGCTGACGCCATCACCTTTACGGAAACAGCTGATGTCATCTGAACTGAGTGTCTACTGGGCTGAATGAGGACACCATTGATCGACCAAATGACCTCACGTCACGGCCAGGGGGACGGCAGATTCTGCTGCTTATGTACACGTTACTCTGGCAGGCTGCCACTCTGTATATTTGGAGGTTATTTTATAGCTGATGATACTGGAAAGAGAAGTTGAAATAACCCTCATTCAGGAATTGCTTTTCAGTCCAAATATGGTATTTTCATTTCCTTTTTGCTTCATTACTCCGTGCAATATTTCAAAAGACAAGCGGTTTCTGTTCCTCCGTTGGGAAAAGGCAGTGCGTACTGCAGAGAGAGCATCATAATCTCGTTGACAGTGATTGCATTTTGCAGCTGACTGATTCAACCTTATTGATTTCCTCTTCCTTCTCCCTCCAGACCTCCTCAATGGAGCCCAGGAGAAGTGCGAGCTGCCGCCTATGGAGGGTTTCCCACACTGCGAGGGCAAGGTCACGGTGAGTCAAACAGCCTCTCCACCTCTCTCTGTGTCTGTTTTCATACCAGCAATTGCTTTTATTTAATATCCTGTAACGATTCTTGTGTTGTGTCACGTTTTTAGTTTGTGTGTCTGGTAGTGGGTGTTTTGCTGTTCTCCTTGTCATGTGTTCCTCTCTGTGTATTGTCTGGTCCTTCTCCCTGTGTTACCTGTCTGTCGTTAGTTTCCCTGGTGTGTCTAATTTCCTGATTGTTTTCACCCCTTGTGTGTCTCCTGTGCTCATCAGCGTCAGCCCCGCCCCTGATTGTGCCCACCTGTGTCTTATCATGTGTTTAAATTCCCCTGTCTCCCAGTGTTCTTATTTTTTTGTCATCTCAACCTGAGATTCAATAGTGATTTTTTTTTTTTTTTCATCCTGCCTGTTTTTGGAAAAATAAAGTATCTTACCAATACTTTACCTCTGTCTCCCGGGTCGTGCAATTGGGTTCTACATCCTAAGTGCCTGAGTTCTTAACATATACATAAAGATAGCGGGGAAAAAGGAGCATTCTCTACTTAACATTTCTACTAAATAAACAGAAAAGATGGCCCACACTTTGTTGAAACACCTCGAGTAAAACTATAGTTTATTTGACGAATATTAAACGTCAGGGAAATCGGTTCCTAGCAAAGCACACACACACACACACACACACACACACACACACACACACACACACACAGACAGACACACAGACACAAAGACAGACGGACACAGGTACACACACACACGATCTCAATCCAATGTTTATTCTATGTGTGTGTTTGTCTCCCTGGAGCTGATGGGGCCCTATCATACACACCATCTGCTCAGCCAGTACCAATCCTCCACTTACACTGCCAGCATTTCCAACTGGGCGCCATGTGATGCCAAAGCCTGCAACACACACACACACACACACACACAGGATGGCTTTCAGTAGCTAAGGGGAGCATCACTAAACAGTTTGCAGTTTTACGAGCAGCGTCTGGTTAGCAACATCTTACAAATCCATTCTCTCATGTTAAAGAGGTTGCTGTTTAATCAAATGTAGTACAACCTTCACGCCATCCAAGCGACTTAAACCCGTGTGTGTGTGTGTGTGTGTGTGTGTGTGTGTGTGTGTGTGTGTGTGTGTGTGTGTGTGTGTGTGTGTGTGTGTGTGTGTGTGTGTGTGTGTGTGTGTGTGTGTGTGTGTGTGTGTGTGTGGACCTCCCTGAGGGTACTGTAAGTCAGCATGCATGATGAACTCCAGCATCTGAACGAAGTAGGATCTTTCTGTTAGGGATCAAATCAGAAGAGGGGAGGAGATGTGTCCGAATACTGCAGCGTCTTCCCCCTCTGCCCTTTTGTTTTTCTTGGTGGATTTATTAAATATGCAGCTTCTTTCATCTTCGTCAAGAATTCTTCACATTGATTATTTCCACACATGAAAGCTCAACATCCCTCTTTCTCTGTTGGCCGTGGAGCAGCTCCACTGGATGTCTTGCACATGTATTGGTTTGAAAGGGGAAATAGTTTCTTATGTTCAAACCAAATATTTTCCGTTTGATAACAGAAATTGAAGTAAAGAAATTCCCTAACCCCGAGGCACAAAAACACCCCGACTATTCCACAGAGAAAGAAACAATTGATGGATGCAACTGTGCGTTATGTATTCGCTCAGCATCACTTCCTGCCCCCACGCGCCGGTGAATTACAGCATCAACCGGACTTCCTTCTGCATCCATTATTAGGCCGACAGACGCTCCTAATGACGGTGGTTTGGCTGTCATTGTGAGTTACTTAACAGCCGCTGATAAGATACATTTGACTGCTGTTGACTCTCAGTGGGCCCGTTGGTTTTACTGATTTTACAGTGAGTGATTTGGGAGGGAAATGCTTTCAAATAACATCTTCTCTTTTGCTCTTTTCAGTGGATGAAGGACATGTGGCGCTCTGACTCCTGCTATGGAAACTATGGCGTTGACGGATCCACCTGCTCTTACTTCATCTACCTGAGCGAGGTGAGGTGTGTGTGTGTGTGTGTGTGTGTGTGTGTGTGTGTGTGTGTGTGTGTGTGTGTGTGTGTGTGTGTGTGTGTGTGAGCATATTTACCATACTTGTGGGGACCTAAATCTGTTTACACAGTCACGTGTGGGGACTCGCTTCCCTTATGGGGACAAATTGGAGGTCCCCATGAGGGTAATCATTCATTTTAGGGTGAAGACTTAGTTAGGTGTGTGTGTGTGTGTGTGTTCCATTTTACCACAGGGACCTCTCAATATGCACTCCTTACAAACAAAATTCTCATGACTGTAACAATTATCCTTTTTTAATTTGATCGTCAAAATATGGACTTTCAATGTGTCTTGTTGACGTAAGATGTAAAGTTATTGCAAGGGAGGAATAGTCTAGTCAGCCAATCAAATGTAATGCAAAATATTTGAAGTATTTTCATAAAATCTGCAAAAGAAAATGCTTAAAAAAGCAAAACACAGACAAGAGAAATGAAAAACCATGAACAACCAGAAAACTCAAAGGACTGGGCTATATTTCATATTCTTCTTTCCCATGCGAACCAAAATCGTTGTGACCTTGAATAACTTGAATAACGTGGATCCTTACAAAAAGGTCACAGCAATCGACTGTAAATGGTCAAAGCTATACTTTTTCCTGAATCCGCTGGCCACTGCCGCCTCATGCAAATGTCACTCACATAACAGGAGATCGGGTTTTAGGAACAAACTACTTTATACAAATGACTGTTTGCAAGAAGGCCGATGTCAGTCAGAAGTGTTTTTAATATGTTTGCATGGATTCGTGTAACACAGAGGAAGCCTTAATCCTTCAGTATTCTCTCCTAGACTGCACCACTACTACTGCAGCTACATCGGGAACATTTGCATTTTAACACTTAAATTATTCAGCTCCTGCTTCTGCAAGTCATAGTGACTGAATTACAGGTACTGGCGCCGAGTAAGCTTCAATATGTGAGGAGAAAAAAGGGAGAAGTTACGACATTCCTGACGGCACCCAAAGAACGATCAGGGAAGAAATGAAGCGCTAAATATAAGAGCAAACGAGGGAGAGGTGAAGGGGGTTTCATGTTTTAATGAGAGCAAATTAGAATGTGTTGAAAAGGGAAGTGTGTGAGAAAGAGAAGATGAATCAGTGGGAAGGAGGTGAGTTTTAAAAGGGATGAGTTTTTAGCCTCTAAGGGAAGACGTGGAAGGACTTAGTCTCAAAAACAGCCTGGCGATATAGATTATTTACGAACATATAGAAGCTTGTGTTCCTTCAAGGGACACTTTGAGACTTTCAATTTTGCATAAACAGCCAGATTTCCTATCACTTAGTTGTTAATTCAAATTAAAGTCAGTCATTCATGCCTGAAACTAAACTTCTGATAGCACTGAGATTCACTCTGAAGCTGGTTCCTGTTTTACACTCAGATCTAGATAAGCTCTCCATATTTCATAGCGATTCATTCATCACCATTTCTGTTTGATTTTACTTCTTCTGATTGGAAGAAATGTCCATGTTAAGAAGCTGTTTCAAGTGAGAATCCAGGTTGTTCCTGGGCTAATAGCCGGACATTTTATTGGATGAAAAGTAAGGTTTCCCTGGTGGTGGATTTTATCTCTGAAAAGGTCAGCAGCGCGTTATGAATATTGCATATGAGCCGAGGGCTTTACAGTGGATATAGATGGACAACAGCAGAGTCCATGGGAGACGGAGAGGGAGAGGGAGAGAGAGAGAGAGGGAGAGAGAGAGAGAGAGAGAGGGAGGGAGAAAGAGAGAGAGAGAGAGAGAGGGAGAGAGAGAGAGAGAGAGAGAGAGAGAGAGAGAGAGAGAGAGAGAGAGACACACACACACACACACACACACACAGACAGACACAACACACAGACACAACACACAGACACAACACACAGACACAACACACAGACAGACAGACACAGAGACACAGAGACACAGACAGATGGTCTACAGCCCTCAGCCTCCAATCCTGGGCATGCGATCACACGGTTGCGATGACAACTTGCATGCATTTCCATTTTTAAATCTGCTGTGATCGGNTACCCACTATAAAATAGTCGTACCTTGTATCCTACTATAAAGCTCACAATAGTTTTGGTAAAACTAAGAAAATGTACCCTATAGTCCACCCTCGAACTATAAGATCCTTAAAGCCCCTGTCACACTGTCCCGAAATTGCCACCCAATGGACACACGAATATGGAATTGTGAATTTCGCACGAACATGGCTCCGAACCACACACGAAGGCAACATTTACATTACATTTAAGACATACAACTGCAACGACAGTAACACAAACAATTATGTTAAAGTGTTATGATACTGTACTGATATTTTCAGACTTTGTTCTTTACTTTCTCCGTCTTTATATGTAGAATATATTAAGTTTTCTCCGTCATGTGGTTTCCATAGCAACAACAACTTCCTCGCCTTGAAAATAATATATTATATCCTTTTTAGTTTCACAGAACACAAATTGGGTTATTTACATAATATGTTTACATGATTTTGTTGTGCAATAAAACAACCAGATGGACACACGATAAAGGAAATGTTCAAATTCGGCTCTGATCGTAGCAACATCGGGACATTCGTGAGGGCATCTTAAGCCATCTTTGGCATGCCAAAGATTTTGCCACCGCTCCCGAAGTTGCTGCCGGAGCCTGAGAAATTCCGCCGGCGGTTATACGATGGCTTAAGATGCCCTCACGAATGCCTTACCAAGGGCAAAATGGACACACGAAGTCAACACGAAAATGAACCTTCACAAGGTCCTTCGGCAATGCTTTGTGATGCCAAAGATGTTGCCACCGCTCCCGAAGTTGCTGCCGGAGCCTGA